AGGGGAGGAGGCTGAAGAGGCAAGAAATGAAGAAGAATGCCATGGTGTGTTCTGTTTGCAGCCACAGGTGTTTGTCTCCCCGCGGCAGCTTGTTAGGGACTTGGGGAAAGGTCTCTGTGGGAAACGCAGGTTCCAGATTCTCTGTTGGCAGTGCCAGGGGTGGTTCGTGAGGAGGCCGAGTGGCTTCCCTGCTAGAAGCACAGCGTGTGCTAAGTGACATTTCAAGTTAATGAGGATGAGTTTCAGCTTAACTCCTAGCCTTTGTCGTGGCTCTTCCCGTTCATACTTATGCTGTGATGAATTCTCAGCCCCTCTTGTCTCCTGAAACTAATTCGGAGCATTTCCATGTGTAATTCATTGGTACAATCTTTCTGTTGTTTGGGGGCCTCTTTCTTCTGCTTGAGAATTGGAGTGCTATCTCCAGCAGACTAGTAAGACTGACTGAAAGCACAACAAACTTAGGCATTCAGCATAAACTTGCACTGAATGTAATCATAGTAAAGAGGTTTAATGGTAGTCTGAGATATCTTAATCTTTTTGTGAATAAATAATAGCACTGGTGCAACAGAGATTAAATTTGTTAAGCACTTGCTGCAGCAGTACTTCGGAGCTTGGGGAACTATAGTCAAAATCAAGCATCATCGTTTTTTTAGGGCACTCGGTTGTCAATGAGTGAATACCCTGTATGGTGTGTTGTTGGTAAAAGGAGAAGAGTACCCGTATAGTGTGTTCTAATGACATAAACTAGTGACAGTTACTTTGTGGTAGGGTACAATATCTTAGTCTAGCTATTTTTCCATAAGGATAAAATCCCTTGGTATGTTTGCCTTCTAAAGAGCTGGAACGCCCTGTTAGACTGCGATTCTCAGGTCTTTGGATGCCATGCACAGAATCTTGTCTTTTTATGATAGAGTAACGTCAAATCTCAACACTAGAGGTAAGTATCTGATACTACTCTCAAAGTTTCAGCCAAGAAAAATAGTGGTCTAGTACAAGTTTACTGAGTGATAATCAGATAATAGGAGTGAATTCTTTAGCAGTGTCACTTCTTAAGTGCTGTGTTTTGCTGTGTGAACTGTCTATGGAAATGCATACAACTTAATTTTTATTTTCAAAGGTATGTTTCCACTGTAGAGAACCTGGCCATGGTGTTGCTGATTGTCCTGCAGTACTTGAAAGTCAAGATATGGGTACAGGAATCTGTTACCGATGTGGATCCACAGAGCACGACATCAGCAAATGCAAAGCAAAGATAGATCCAGCAATTGGTATGTCTCAGAAATATGTGGGGTTTTTGAGATACTTTGGGTTTGGGTTTTTTGGTTGTTTTTTTTTTTTTAACTACTGACATGCAATCTTCGTGTTTTAGTAACTTTACTGTTCTCAGGAGATAGGTTAGTATAAAAATGAACCTATCAGTGTAAGAGTATAGTGTTTGTAGTATAGTAAAACACTGTCATTGTAGTGTCTGGACTTTACAAAATTTTTAATGTGGATCATAAACTGTATGGGATTTTGCAGGGCCATTTCCATATGCAAAATGTTTCATCTGTGGTGAGATGGGGCATCTGTCAAGGTCATGTCCAGATAATCCCAAAGGTTTATATGCTGAAGGTGAGTGTACTGATCTAAAACCAAAACACGTTTTTCATATTTAGCTGATGTGGAACAAGGTAACATTGTAAGTGAATGAGGATGTGGCTAAAAGGAATATCTGCCTATCTTTACTCTTGGTAAAAGCTGATTGGTCCTGGGGAATGCAGTGTTAATATTGATTATCTAGGGATTTCTGGTTTAATTGTAAGCTTAAGTTCTCATACTCTTTTAAGTATGAGAACTTACTTGTGCTTGCAATACCAAGAGGCACACAAAGAAACAAAATCATAATAGGCTGTATGTGTGTAGTCAGTGTGTATTTAAATGTACATATACCAAAGAATGTGTTAAAAACATACCGTCATGCTATAGTTTAAGATTCTGGGAGGTGTTTGCTCAAAACAATGGCTCTATCTAGAAAGAGGACATCTTCAGTTTAAGTGACTTTAATGAGAAATGTGATCTAAGTGTGGATTTCACTCAGATTCTGCTCTGCCTGGTTTCTTTGTTGGCACTAAAACAAAGCATTCTGTCTCCCAGTACAAACTTGAGGCCTGGCAAACTCAAAAGAGTGATCTTACAGTGCAGTCACTTTACTTTCAATGTTTGGTTTATATCTATGAAACATAAAATTACTTTTATAGACTTTATAGATTTTGTATTTCATATTTCAGCAGTTGGAGTATTTCAGCAGAATTCATACTCAAAATGAAAGCTTCAACAAATCAGAAATAGTCAGTATGTGGTGCTTTACAGTGCAGTTTGATTGCAGACAGCTCTGTCTGTCAGAGGCACAGACAAAGGAAGCTGTGTTTTCAGGCTTCCAAAGCTGGCTGTGTATCTGCTCCATGATGTTATGTTGCCAAGGAGCACAGACCTGTCCATAAGGACATTGCCATATCTTCTTTGCAGGTTGTGACTACAGATAAGTAGATTTTTTCAATACACATACAAGAGCAAAACAATGTAGGAGGCATGTTCTTTGTGTTTGGGTATTCTTGTTGTCTGTTATTAGTTTTTTATCCCCAGATGAATAACAACTTTCTCTCTTAACAGGTGGTGGCTGCAAACTTTGTGGTTCTGTGGAGCACTTCCGAAAAGACTGTCCAGTAAAACAGAATGGAGGTGAGATGCAGGGGAGTGTACAGAACAGAGTCTGAGTGCACAGCTGAGTACATTTATCTACTGCTTTTGCTGCCTTCAGTCAGGAGAAGATGGGTTTGAGAGGAGAACTTGCAAAAAGCAGAGGTGATCTTCCTTTGGGATGAGTGCTTCTGTTGAGGGGTATGTGGAGGCATTAAGCATTAAGTTGAAATGCATGACTCGAACTTTCTGTGATAAAAACAGCCAGCTTGTAGGTTTCTGAAGATAATATGGTAGAAGATAATTCTGAAGATAAGTGCAATGTGTACTTGTTAGCCAGCATTTTTGCTGCTGTTCATAACTTAGCAGCTGTAGAACAAAACTGCTTCTGATGATTTCTGTGTGAAGTGGTAGAATTGACTATAGCGTCAGTTGCAGGGTGTTGGGACTGGCAGCCTGCAGAAGCTGTGTGTGCAGGCAAGTGTTCAAGTCACTCAAGACAGGAGAGAAGGAGGAGGTAGGAGATCTGTCCAGCTGGATTCACCAGGTTGGACAGAGCCTTGTGTGATACAGTCTAGTGTGAGGCGTCCCTACCCATGCAGGGGGGTTGGAACTAGATGATCTTAAGTTCCTTTCCAACCCAAACCATTCTGTGATTCCATGATTCTACCTGTGGGTGGAAAAAATACATTATAAACGAAAAAAAAAATGTTAAGGCAAGAGCATCAAACAAGTGTTTGAAGAATGATTCTGTTACTGAAGTGCTGACACATTCGTGCATTTTTATTCTGTGTCTGCATGGCTTATAGAACCTTGGGGTTAATAATATGCTACTTTTGTGGAATTTATTTAAGATATTTATGTTGGCAATAGAGGCCTATGCTTCAGCCATTTTTTTATCTGATCCACATTTTTGCCTGCTTTTTCTTGAGAAGCTTTATGTCCATAATGAAGACTGACAGCTGCTGTTTAATTTCCCAAGGGACATCTTTGTCTTTATCCTGATGTTTCAAAACTAGTTAAAAATAGTTGAATTAGTTGAAACTGCAACACCATTGGTAAGAGTTTTAATATTCTTTGAAATCAGTTTGCATCATGCAAAGTACTTTTAGACTACAGGAGGATAGCTGGTAGCTGTCAGGTTTAGCCACTATGGCTTGTGGTTTCTTTGGGTGGACCTATCCGTGGACCTGGACAGGCTGGAGAGGTACGCCAGTGTGAATGTCATGAATTTCATCTAAGCCAAGTGCAAAGTCCTGCACATGGGTCTGGGCAATCCCAAGCACAAAGACAGACTGGGGCAGGCTTGATGGAGAAGCCCTGGGGAGAAGAACTGGGAGTTTTGGGTGACAGAAGCTCCCCATGACCCAGCTTCAGTATGCTCTTGAGCCCAGAAACCCCCTGTGTGCTGGGCTGCACCCCCAGAGCGTGAGCAGCAGGTTGAGGGAGGGGATTCTCCCCCTCTGCTGTGCTCTGGGGAAACCCCCCCTGCAGTCCTGATCCAGCTCTGGGGCAACAACACAAGAGGGACATGGAGCTGTTGGAGCGAGTCCAGAGGAGGCCACAGAGATGCTG